CGTGTGAGACACAGCACTGTGTGCATCAGCGTCTCGGTGGGGAGAGCCAGGATGCACACTCATCCTGCCCCTGCTAGTCACTGCCGCTCTCGCTGACACTTGAGGAATGCAGGATGTGCCTCAAATAGACCTTTACAAATTTTCTTTGCTGCAGTCATTTCAGCCTTTCCTGGTATTGATATTAGCTCTCGCTGACAACTGGGGATTTTAGTGCCTGTGACTGAGAAGAGTACAATTTGGGGCTTTTTTCCTTCTTTCATGCCAGCAGAAAAGGGAACATTGGACTTGCTGTGCCAGCCCAGATGAAAGGTTGAACAAGCCCAGGCTCCTGTCTCTGGCAGCGGCCAGAAAAGCTTCAGGAAAGCACAGAACAAGCATAAAGTAATACTTTCCCCACTCCATCCTCCTCACAGAATGAGTCTTCTCTGTTCTGGCACCTGTCCTGATGAGATAAGGAAGAATAACTTAATCCAGTGGCAAGGAGAGGAAGCAGGTGCTCCCTTCAAAGCTCCTCTAAGGCATAGACTGTGGACAATGCCAGGTTAGGTTAGGCCTACACAAAGTGATGGAAGCAAAGGAGTAACTCTTGGGGGGGGGGGGGGGGGGAGGAAATAGCTTTTCTGCGCTTTTAGTTTTAAAAGCAACGCAATTTGGAAGCAACAGCATTTGTTCCATCTTGCCAAACCTCAAATCTGAGTTCCCAGGACTGTTCCTCCAGAGGAAGGTGTGCATAGGCAGGTATTCTTGCCAGGTGGTCTGGACCTTTGGCAGCTCTTAGCTGTGAGCAAGCTTCTTTGGCTTCTTTTGGTACAGACATGCCACAGCGTTGCTAAGCTTGCAAGTACCACTTTCTGCTTCAAAGAAGTTACAAGTACCAAGCACACCAGAGGACCTTGCCAGTTCCATAAGCCAAATCAGCTGCAGCATAAGGAGGTCAGAAACAACTCAGGCACACCTAGGAATACTCATGGAGTACTCCAGCCTAATCACTGTTGCTTAAGGTGTCTAAAGGTCTGCAAACATTTGAACAACGTGTGTGAGCCACAGGTGTGGCTTCAGCAGCTTAGATGCTAAAAAGAAACCCAGTAGGCTAGAATTCCTCACCTGCTTCTTCATGTGCTTGGGCCAGGACCACTGTGAGAGTCACAGCTCTACTGCTCCCTGTCCCAAGCACCCTGCCCACCCTGGGAACAGCATCTTCCAGCCTGTTTCTAACATGACCACGCACAGGCATGGGATGCTTGTAGAATGTTTGTTTCATAGAAAGACAGGGTATAGCTGTTTTTGAGAACTGGATGTTTTTTAAGTGCTGTTAAGAGACTGAAACTTGTGGTGCTCAGAATCATTGGCTGTTGTTGTGTAGGCACAAATTTCTCCTTGGTTGGTTTGACTTCCCAGCTGGGCATTCAAGCTGGGTATTACATCACTTTCTTATGCTATGAGTCATAGCTTTGAGAGACCATGGCTGCATCTACTGAAAATGGAAGCCTGAAACATTTGCGGGAGAATAGCAGAAACCAAAATACTGTGAAGGGGCCAATGATCACATACACAGACAGTAGCAGCAAAGGCACAGAGGTGGAGTTTCTTAGCTGCAGAGATAACATAGCCCAGGGCTCCTTCCGGATCTGTCTCTGGGAATCGGCACTATCTGGGTGCATCATTTAGGGGGAAAAGCAGGAAGCAAGCTGAATCAAAAGCAGTAATGCTAGAATCCATCACAGTATGTTCTAGCTGGCTCTTTTGCTATGGGAAAGCAAGGTTTACAGATGCCGACACTAGCATACTCTTAATTCTGAGGTATTTTCTATAGCTATTTTGGGTACCTGCTGTCCTGTGGGCAAAGACAGTAGCAAGTACATTTGCTTGAGCCAATGTTCTAGAGTTTCAGCAGGTGGAGGGCAAATAGCAAAGCATGGGCTGAACACAACGGCGTCCTAATGTAGCAGAGGGGTGGGCCGTGTGGGGCTACCACACTCCATTTATTTAAAGAATAATTAACCATTAAGCTTTGAACTCTTACTTATGTGGCTAATATGCAGTAAGGATGCTCAGGAACAGAGCCGAGCACTGAGCCAGCTCCACCACTCAGGCTGTGGCCGTCGGGCTGTGGCCGGCTGACCCAGGGAACATGTTTTCAGTGGGCATGTGAGCCAGCAGCTCTGCTTCTGTGAGCCTGCTTGTGAAAAGGAGTTCCTCCCTCATGGGAAATACAGATGAGATTCTAATTGTTTTGGTGGTTTTGATGCAGAGTCTTCTGAAATTGCAGGTGCAGAACAGTGGTGGTTGTAAATACTGTGCTATTATTACTGTTAGTAGCATGTTTTCTGCGTTACTAACAGTCCATGCAAACCTTGCATGATGCTCTGCTGAAGTGATGCCCCCAGACAGAGATCCTTGCTCCTGCAGTGCTGCAATATACCGTGCTTTCCACTGCTTTACACCGTGCTTGCTCTGCATTGGAATTTTCGAGAAAGAACATTTTCCATTCTTGACTTAAATAATTCATCTTCCATGGGAAATGTCTGTTTTCAGTGAATTAGTAGCGGAACATCAGACTAGAACCAGGTCTTCTAATTAATTGGCTTCAGAAGTGTGGCTCTTATCACTAACTACATTTTTTGAACAGCTTGTGAACTGCAGGGAAGTTGAACAACACTTGAGCAAGTAAGTTATTGCACATTTAAGAGGCTTTTACAACTGGTCCCTTGTAGTGCCACATTGTGAAACAGGACTTCCCAGCATGGTATGGAACTGGTGTGCCCACGTGCAGGAACCTCCTTGGCTGCTGGTACTGTGTGTAGTTATTGCAAGTGTGAGCTCTGCATCTGAGAGATGATGGTGGTAAACACCAAGCTTTCTGACAGCCTTCAGCATAAGGAGAGGACCAGCAGTTGTGCTAGGACATGTTCTGACCTTGACAGGCTTAGATTTTTCTTCTTATCTCAAGTGAGGATGACTTTCAGTTTGATTTTCTGCTGTGCTGTGCTGCACAACAGTTTCCCACAGCAGTGGTTCCTGATGGATGAGGTGTGAGCTATGCGTACTGCAGCTGGGATCTGGAGAAAATAAGCTGCAAAAACATGGGTTCCATTCTCTTGAGGCTGTCACATTGACACAAAGGATTGAGGATGACCAGAGCGCTCTGAAACAGGCATAAAAGCTTGTTAGGCTTGCTGCCTGATGCTGAGGAAAGGCAGAATGGGCATGGTTGTAATACCAGGATGAGGGAGAGGGAGGTGAGGCAATGCAGTGCCAGTGAGAGCAGGATGTGAGCAAGAGGACTCGAGGAGTCTTGGTTTGGATGCCAGTCCTCCTAAGTGAGGATTGCCTAAAAATTTGGTGGCCAGGAGCTGTGAGTTCTTCCTTAAAGCTGGTGTATTTCACGCAACAGAAACTCCATTAACTCCTTTAGTGAGAGTTGTTAGCACTAATCCTGGCTGTTTGATTGGGTTTATCACGGCTATTGGGAGCATAAATGTGTTTACAGATTTGTTGTGAAAGCATTTTGGTCTGTTTTTCGCGTAGCAAGTCAGCTTCCATGCGGTGCAATTATGTTCAAGATGTTCCCTGTAGCACTGGAATAATGTCAGATTACATTGTGTGTGCATATTGTTCTTCAAAGGGATTTCAGCTGAGGCACAACATACCGTGTTGGAAGAAGGGGATCTTGGGCATGGTACGCTCGAAACAAGAAACTCTGTTGAATCTTGTCTTGTCACAGAGCAGTGCTTGTCTCTGGCTGCTGAAATGTGAAACTTGTCCCCCATTAGCTTCCCTCCCGCTCCCTCTAACCCTGCCAACACAAAGTCCATCCATCAGCAGGTTTCCCCACTTGTTGTGCAGCCTGCTGCTACCTTTTAGTGCTGGAAGTTGGCCACAAACAGCAAGGCGTTTCAGAGGGGAGAGCCTGGGGAGGAAAAAAGGATGACTTGCAATCCGTTTGCAAAGTGTCTTAGTTTTTGTTCAGTTTGTCATTCAGCGCAGCTCGGCCTACAAACTTCCCATGTGTTTGATGCAGTTTTGCTCCGCAAGGAATCTTCAGAAGCCAAAGAGTGTGATCTCTTAATAATGTGATGGGGAGCAGGTACAGCAGGTGGCTGGGATTGGGCTCCTGTGGACGTCTGAGCATCTGCATCAACTGTCTGTGCTCCTCCTGGGACAAAGGACTGCACTGTGCCTATCGTGGAGGGCACTTTTTGGTACTGGAGCCCCAGTTAGACATCAGGAGTCTGTCACACAGCATCGCCCCAGGGATGAAGTGGCCTCTAATGCTCACTGTTGAACTGCTGTGGGCTGTTTTTTCACTGAGGTAACAACGCAATTTCCTGTCTCATGACAGCTCAGATATTAAAGGTCACATCTGCCTAATACTTTCAGTCTTAGCTATGACAAGCTTTCCCAGCTCTTCTAAAGCAGACAATTGTGGTATGTTTCCCTTCTGAACCATACTCAGAACGCAGAGTTTGTTCTGTAACTCTTTATTATTATTGTTGCTACTACTAGTAAGTCTTGTACAGGGATTACTCAGAACAGCAGCACAACAGTTCTGCCCAAGGAAGGAAAGGTCAGGATCTTCAGGTGCCAGCACCGCTAGCCTGCAGCCTACTATTCTGCACCTCAGAAGCAGATTTTCTTGTTTCAAGTTATACCAAAGAACCATTTCCAGGGACAGCTCTTTCCTCTGTCCTATGGTCTGTCCTTACGACGTCTCGCTGACGATGCTGCAGTCCTTGGCTGAAGCTGACAATGCAGTTAACAGTGCAGATGTTTACCAACTAGAAAGCCGTATGCTGCTGTTCCAGGGGGATGCACTCCGTGTGGGTGCTCGGGAGATAAGGGAGCAGGAGAAAGGACGCACACAGATTGAGGCTAAGTAGGAAAGAAAACCTGTATGGTGATTGCTTGCTAGAAATAAACGCAAGAGACTTCTGGCAGTTGAGTTCTTGGTGGCTCCATGCAGATGCACAGCAGCTGAGAATCTGTCCCTGGAAACTGTGAGGAGCGCTATGACTGTGGTCATGTATGCAAGCTTCAGGTAATCTTTATAATTGGTTAGTCGAAAAAGTTTGAAGGTTTGTGCAAATATATCCCCAAGACAGCAGGAACCTTTGTGCTCGTGCTTCACCAGGTGATGTATCTGCCAGGCTTTCTAGAGCAGCTTGAAGTACTTTTCAGAACAAAATCACCTGTAACAAGCACAAAACATACTTTGTGCACTCTATGGAAGCCCAGAGCCCAGGCCATTTTACAGAACTCCAGTTTTTGCTATGCTTCAACACAGATAAAAGCCTGACAGCTGAGCCGTTTTAAAGCACCCCATAAAACCCTTGAGTCATGCAAAATCCTATCACATTTTTCCCTCTGGTTGAAAAGTTATGAATGGTACAAGTGCTATTAAATCATAGATAAAGAATGCTGAGTGATGGGTTAGTAAAAATAATTTTAAAAACTCCTTGTTTTCATCTATATCTTATTTCCCTGGGTGTGAATTCAACAGGTAAGACTGAAATATCACAGCTTACCCCCAAAAGGAGTGGCGTGCAGCTGGATCCCTTGGAGAGTCGCTATTCCTTTTCTTGGTTTCCTTACTGCTGCAGGCAAATTATGATTTTAATACTTCTCCTTTATTGAGCACAGCTAATTTCCCCACCCTATACCAGCTCAACTTCTCTGGCAGGAATGTTGGGGATGGCAGACCTGTGCTTTCATCTGCTCCCAAGCCTCCTGCTGACAAAACTGCACCTCTGTGATCCCACTCAACCAGCTTTTAGCCCAGCTGCCCAGCCAGGTAGGCAGAGTTGGGGGCAACGTGGTGTCCTCTGTATGCTTGCATCCACCAGTGCTGCTCTGCCAGCTGCTGACCCAGTACCATGAGGATACCTATATCCCTCTGGCTGTTTTTTTTTCTAGAATAAAGCTACCTGGAACTACTGCTTGGTTCAGGAGGTAAGTGCTGCATTGCCCTTCCATTCTGTTTTTTCAAATGTACTTATTACAGTGTTAATCACTGGATCATTGGGATCCCTCTCTTTTTAGTTTCTTTTCCCTGAAATGCAGTGGTCAGATTTCCCAGACCTTGCTTTGTTTAACGTGAGATAAATTTCACGTGTGTTAACCTGATGAGCTACGTCTTGCCAGTGCTGTAAACAGGTCTGGCTGTAGAAAACGCTTCTGGAGTGAGCAAAAATTGCTCATATTCAGCTAAATATTCTGAAAACAGAAAGGCCTGTAGAGGAAGTGAACCTAGCAGCTATCCGTGTATTACTCAAACATGACCACATGCATTCTGCTTTTGTTTTTCAGCAAACCCCTCTGAAAAGGTTGTGCATACATCTTACTTCAAAACTTCTATGTGACCTTTCCCACTGATGTCAGGCTTGTGCAGAGGAGAGCAAGCCACAGAGCCCCGTGTCTCATCTTTTTGTCCCAGCCACCAGGTGCTTTCTGACGGACATGCAGAGATCAAATAAATGAAATCCCACTTTACTACAGAAAGAGAGACCTGTCACCATGGTGCTGGGCTCAGAGAGCTGCAGAGCAAAAGCTTCACCAAGCCGTATGGCTGAATTGTTCCCTTCTTCGTCGCCCATTAAAAAAATCTAAGTGGAAGATGAGAAGCTGCCTGCTTTAGGTTCATGTATGAATAATTATAGGTACCTGCACTACCAAGGGACTTTCTGAAAGACGAGTAAAGAGCTGGGCCTCTTCAGGGAATCTGTGGCAAGCAGGTCATTCAAAAATAACTTTTGGAGGCTATGGGAAGTGGGTGAAATGAAGTAACAAACAGCTTCTGAAAAAAACAGCCAATGAAAGGGAGTGTTTCATCTGATATCACAAACTGTTAGTTTTCATTCTGATCCTGTTGTTTTCTTCTTTATATAGCTCATAGAGTGCCCTTAAGTTGTCTCCAAAGGATATTAATTTTCCACTGGCATCAGAAAGGCTGAAGTGATACTTGCAATGAGGGTAAATGACTCCCTTGAGGTTTTGGCACCCACAGCTCTGGCCTAACTGGAAACACAGGCAATTAATAAATCAGAAAATCAGTGCCTCTCGGCCCTCACTGCTCTAGGGAATCCAATGGGAGCTTTGTCAGTAGGACTAGGAGACTAGACCAAGACCACAGAGCGTGCCCCATAATGGACTTGCATGTGGAAAAGCTCGGCTGTCTACAACGAATGCCAGCTCTTAAAAGTACTGATCAAGGTCTGAAGTAGACTGAAGCAGAAAACCCTGAACAAGAACTGGGATCCACCGCAAACAGGGAGGTGTCTTCAGCCACTATGGGAGGACTGCTGCAGCCACATGGTGATGCTGAGTGAAGCTCACCAGCAACCAGAAAATACAACTGGTTCTTGCTCTCAGGGATGTAAGGCCATCTCAGATAGTAATGTCTAAAGCATCAAAACTTATTCCTTGTGAAGCCTGGGTGATAACTGGTAATTAAGACTGTAACAGCCACAAGCTGTGATATGCTGTCATCTACACAAAATCTACCTGATTCCAGCTCATCTGGAAGCAAAAACATCACTATGATTGCTGAGATAGGAATTGAAAGCCAGCCTGTTTCCCAGGGTCCTCTTAAAGTTTTCATGCTGGCTGAAAGTAGATCATAAGCTCTGTGGCACTTGTCACCATTACTTTACCTCCTTTTTTTGTGTGTGCGCAGAGAACCGTTTGCAATGTGAAATAGTGCTAGACATTGCCAAAAAAGCCAACCAAACACCCTGCTTATGCTACTTGGATGCAAGACATCTTTAGAAGATGGACTCCGGGGGACAAACAAATAATACCAACAAAGTATGTGTATATACACACACCCCTATACACGCTTGTATCTCAGTTGTAGAGTTCTCTTCCTCACCATCGATTACTAACTTGCTGTTTTCTTTCCAGAAAGAAAAAGTCCTTGACAGAATTTAAGCGATGAGTAATGACTCTGCTTTCCTCCATTCCAGCTGCTACACAGGCACATACATGAGTCCCTGGCCCTGCAAATTTGAACATTTTAACCTTGTCTTGTGTCCTGTGCCTCTCCTGTCACCTAATGTTGTTGCAGTTAGTGCACTCTTAAGTCAGGTCTACCTCTCTCAGTAGCTAGGGCAACTGTATTTACAGGAAGCAAGAAAATACACTTATAAACAGCAGTATGCGTCTGGGGATAATGTCAGCACTTCAACCAGAGTCTTGCTATTCTCTTGGCGTTGTCATCGCTGGATCCTCTGCCCTTCCTTACACGTGGGCTTGAGGAGGTGGTTGTTTTGGCTGGAATTAGAGAGGCACAGGTGGTATCACCAGCTGTAAATTGGAGGAGGCACTTCCTGATTATGACCACTGCCTACACATAAATCACTGCCAAGAGAGGAGCTGAGAAGCATAGAAGCCTTCTCCTTACTTGGAAAGAGGGCCTCAAGTGTAGTCAGAATTCCCCTGTTCTGTGTTTTTTTTCACTTATAGGTTTCAGGGTCCTTTGCGGGCTCTTGGCTTCCCAAAATGATGTGACATGGAAAACCCTCAGCTGAGTTTGACATGTGGATAAACCAAAGCATCAAGTACCTGCGCATCTAACACTTGGGCACTCAAATCCTCATAAAGGCACTGGGAGCTCATGGGAGCTCAGGAGACGCACATACAGGAGGCATTTGAGAGCCAGGACTACAGCAAAGAATCAGGTATTTCCTCAACCGCACGAAATGTCATCCCCTTCAAGTGGTGAATGAGCCCTTGATCTCTGTGAGGTCAAGATTTTTGCCTTCTGGCTTTACATGTTTGTGGTGAGAGACCTGTCCAAAGCTGCAGCGAGCGCTAAGTCTCTGGCGAGGAGTTTGGGTGCTGTTTTTGGAAAGCACTGCTGGCCATCTGTAGTCACCCTGCACAGACTGCCACAGTCCTGCTCTCCTGTGCTAGCAGACACAGATGGGTGTAGTTGTGTTTTACTGTCAGGTTAAGAGGTGGTTTTTTTTCCCCAATTATTATCTAGTGTTCATTTCTCCAGCTATTCACTTGTACACAGTGAAGACCTCTGCTGCTGGCCCTGACTTGCCTTGTCTGCAGGAAACTTGGGACGTTGAGTCGCCTCATCAACCAATTTGCTGGGGTGACCATTCAGCCCCTTGCTGTCTCATGGTCTTGCTTTTGGGGTATTTCTTCCCTTTTAACCCAAAGCGTCTTCAATGTGGGTCCACTGAATGTACAGATGGAGAGCAGGGAGTGAGGGAGAGGTGTTGCAGAATCAACCCACCAACGTGTGCTGCTCACCCACGCACACAGGGAGAGGGAAAGATTAAAAGATTAAAGTTACAAACTGAAAACCGCCCCAGGCTACCGCTGAGATCTGAGTGACTGCCTGCGAAGCCAAACTCCCACTCTGGAGGTGCCGCGCCACGCTCGCTGTCACTCACTCCGCACTTGCTTTCTCCTGCCATCCCTTCCTGCCACTGGCTTTGCTATTTTTACAGGCTGAAAAATTAAGTAATCGTCTGGTTTGGCCATGAAGGAGAGCCCAGAGCAACTCCTGGTTGTCATTGCAGGGCTCACGGGCGTAGTCTTGTGCTCCATCACTGCCCTCCTGTACTTCTAGACCTTAAAGACTCCTCCGTCAGCCTTCTGCTTTGCCTCATTTGCCTGTATCACAGCCAGGTTGGGTTTGGATGTGGCTCAGGACTGGTGTGGGAGGGACAGCAATTTGCAGCAGTCAGGATTTTGGTAATGAAGTGGGGAAGTTTGTAAGGTCTTCAGTGCTTTCTCGCCCCTACAGAGATGTGCAAATCAAGACCTACTCTACCAAGCTTACAATTAAATATGCCCACAGTTTTATACTCCTTCCTGCCATTTGTTTAGATTTTCTCACTTTCTTTTTTTTTCCCTTTGTTAGAACTGGACCAAGATTGTGGCTTTATGGCTGAAAGGTACAGAACTAAAACTAAGGTCTAGGAGCTCCAAAAGAGTTATCAGTGCTGTGCTTGTGTTGGTAGGTATGATGCAAAATGAAACAATGTTATTTTTATTTGATTGTAGCAGTTAATCTGAGCCAAAACGATGATTTCATTTAGTTCTGGGAGAATTGAGTTCTATAAGTCATTTTTTTCCAATTTGTTTTCTGTTATTGTAGTTGAGTTTAGGGGTACTTTTTGTCAGAAACAGGCTGTTTCAAAGGAAAAAAAAAAAAAAAGAAAGGTTTGGCTCTGCTATTTTGAAAATGTTGAAATGGTATATTTTGACATCTCAGAAGTTCCTCCTCCTCCCTGTGCTTTTCAGATGAAGGTATTCCTCAGACGCAGGCTGATCTTGTCAGTGTGTTCAGTTCCCTTAGGGTTCCATATTTAATCTGATCTCCCAGCTATCAGCTATGCTGCCCTGCTCTGCCACTGGGTGGAGGTGACAAAGGAGCACCAGGACCTTCTCGCTCCTGCAAGAAATGGTGCTCATTGCACATGAGATGATGGGACAGCCTACTCCTAGCTTGGCTTTCCTGCTGAGGACAGTGGGAACCCTGCAGATCAGGACACGTTCGAGTGATTCGTACCTGCCCTTAGATACCAGCATTTCTTCTGGCGTGACTGGTTTCTCTCATCTGCTGCCAATGGTCTTGTCAGGGCAAACGTGCTGAGCTGATGGGATGCCCTGGTAGGGGCAGCTGTGAGTGGAGCTTTACAACCATGTTGCCAGAATTCTTAAGAAATTGGATGCTGGCCTATAAAACAGGAATGCAACTACTGATGTTAAGGAGTCAGATAGTTTCTCTTTCTGCCCCAAGGAGAAACTGACTGTATGAAGATGTACAAGAACTTGGCTTTATAAACATAAATTTACTTGCAGTTAATGGAAATGGCTTCAGTCTGCCTTCCTGCTTGTGCCAGCCACAGCCCTTGGCACGGTGCAGGCAGCTCACACGTGCATCATGATCAGCACCCTGCTGGGAGAGAGCTTCACCATCTGAGTGCTCACAGCCCCTCCAGCAGCTCACCCAGCCCTTCGTCTGCAGGAGCTCCGACTGCTTGGGCCTGTGCCTCAGAGGAGGTCAGCAGCAAGCTCCATGCTTCCCAAGGGATGCACAGTTCTTGGTAAGCATCTGGCTGTAACAGGCACGGCTAAAATGCCACATTGGGCACAATTCAATGCAGTAATTTCCACACTCGTTCTCGTTCTGATGACGACTCAATGAGCTCAAAGTCTTTGCAAAGTTTATGCACCACATGCTTGCACAGGTCTTGGTCTGTGATGAATCTGTAGCTTCCAACAAATTACAGTTGGTGTGCTATTTTATTTACATAGGATTCATCTAATTCAAATGACTAGATGAAATCCTTTCATCTTCAGGGCACAGGAGGTCAGAGTACGGTGATTTTATACGGCTGCTCCGGGACATAAAATCTGTTCATTTGACAATCAATAGAAAGATATCACTTGCAACGTTGATGAGGTAATTTCCTCCTCCAGTCAGCTCTGACCCTGTCTTCCTGGTTCACATTCTCCTGGCAAGGTGAAAACTCCTGAAGTTCTGCTCTGCTCCATCCTGCCCCCGCTGACGCCCGCACACCCTTCCATTTCTTAGTTCCCACCCCAGCTTTCTTCTGCCTCCATTGCCCATGATCTCAGCTGTCATATATTAAAATTCCTTGTACTTTGAAGCCACTCTCTGATTTACATGCTCCAAGCATGCAAGTTCTCTTCCTGAACTCTTATTCTAACCATGCACTCAATAAGGTGGTGCCAAAAAAAAACACATCCTGCTCTATATTTGTTCTCTGCTGCATTGCACAACTTCATATATGTAGTGTACAGGAGACAACAGACCTTCTGGGGCATAGTCTGTGACAAGTCACCTGCCCAGCAAGCCCACTGTGCTGGATGCTATGAATATTATTGTGCTTAAGAACGATCCTTGCCTTTCATCTGGCACTCCATCAGCAGATCAGCAATGGCTTCAATGAGGAAGTTGAGTCAATCCTGATTTCCAGATGGAAACGTGGAGAAGGTGAAGTAACCTGCGTGGTGTCAGTGTGCTGGCACAGCAGAGCCAGGAACTGTGTGCAGCCACCTCTGGGCCTGGCCTTGCACTCCAGCCACAACACCCTGCCCAACAATATATCAAAAAAGAAGTGCTTGTGCAATGCATTTTTGCCTTCTTCGTTAAGAGTAAACAATTTGAAGGTTTTCCTCCCAGGCATTCATGGCATCCTTGAGAAATGTGTTTCAACATGCACTTTCCCTAATGCTGTGTGTGTCTTAGGACCCAGCCTGCAGCTGTGACCTGCTAGAAGGAAACAGCCTGCGGTGAGTTGGGGCGGCAGTGCCAGCCCTGTGCTCTGCTCTGCAGCTCTTATGGTGGCAGTTGGAGCTGGAGGGACCAACCAAGGAGCTGTGCTGCATGGAGCTCTTCGGGGAGCTGTACCAGCTGCTGTGTTGGCAGCCTTGTAAATTGCCTCTGGATCTGCCTTGCCGTCTTGTTTCCTTCTATGTAATTGCTTGCTGCCGATTTTCTTTTCTTCATTCTGTAGAGCTCGTATCTTGCTCGGATTTCTCCTCAATCTGGGAGTCAGAGGAAATAGAGAACTCATCAGCTGCGTGCTTCTTCCATATATTATGAAAGTGTCCCTATGCCATGTGTGATTTTCTTTTTTCATGCAATCAGACAGCACAACACAGAGCCAGAGAAGGAAGGATCCATCCTGCCGAGATGCTCCCTGCTCTCAGCTCCACAAAGGCGACAGCAGATCTATCACTTCCCCCCTCTCTAACCCAGTGCTTTACTTCCCCCACACATACCGCTGAGTCTTGCAAATGTCGTGTGGCAGAGCATCTGATATGTCACGGAGAGCTCTGTGTGGCACAAAGCTGGGACAGCCCTGGAGCCCTGCAGGAGCTGCAGAACACGCCTGCCTCTGAGTGCGCCCATTCCTCATGCTTTGGAAGTCCCAAGGAACCAGCTAGCACAGTGGCAGGGTCAGCACATGCAGAAGGCTGGCTGACTTTACACGGATGTAAAGGGCATGTGTGCTTCTGCTTGTGCACTGCAAGCTGCCCAGCAACCTGTAGGGACTGTGCCACCAAGAGCGCACGAGGCAGCGCTCAGGCAGGGTAAGAGTTTTAAGACTGCCTTCTGTGACTGCATATAGCTTGCAATCATTACAGACAAAGAATGTCTGAAGTAGGGGTCGAGTCCAGAGCAAAGGTTCTGCCGCCTCCATTACTGGATCCACCTGATCTACGTGCTTTGTTATCATGACAAAGGCTCGCACCACAACCACTTCAAAACCGAAGCGTACAGCACGGAAGTAGCTGTAAAGTTACCAGGACTGTTTCCAGCCCATCCTTCCCACCTGCGCAGGGCAGACAGCCGCAATGTTGCATCAGTGGGTCTTTAGAGCGGGATGAGAGCAGCGCTGCGTCCTCTCTGGGACGGCGCTACAAAACGACAGCACGCTTTCCCGCTCCTCGCTGGGAAAGCGTCCGTTCTCCTCCTCGGCAGCCCCTGGCTTTCTGCCCAGCGCCATCACATCCGCCGAGGGAGACGGCGGAGCGGCCGCCGGCCTCGCAGCGTGGGCCGCGCCCCCGGAGCCACGCCGTGCGCACACGAGGCGGGGCGGGTTGGCGGACCGGCGGCTCTCGGCAGCGCGGTCAGCGGCTGCGCAAACGGCGCGTTGAGGATGGGCACCCGACGGCAGCGCGATAGCCGTCATATTCGACAGCTTTAATCGCCGCGGCTGCAGCGCCTCGAGGCGCATGCAAAACCCGTCGGAGTGGGAGGGAGGAGGCAGCGCCGCGCGCATTTTTGCGGTCTCGCCGGGCAGCGCGCGGCTCGGCTTTCTCATGGGAACGGCGGAGCGCCCGGAGCGAGGCGGGGCCGCGCCGCTCCCCGCGGGCTCCCTCTTCGGGAAACTTTTAGGCCCGGCGAGGCGCGGGGTCCGGCGGGCGGTGCCGCTCTCCCCGCGCCGCTCCCTCTGCCGCTCCCGCCCCCGCGCGGCGGCGGCCCCCGCCGGGCTCTGCGTCACGCGGCGGCCGCGCGTGGGCGAGGGGGCGGCGGAGCGCGCGCGGGACCTCCCCAC